GCAATATGACAAGAGGCACTGTCTTTCTCTTATGCCCTAACATGCTTGTGTGTTTCTTTCCTAGTTGTTCTGCTGGCAGTGACTTGCTTGATCTTTGCTGTTCGGCTTGGACTAGTCACATGGAGGCACTGTAAGAGACCACTGGAAGCATCAGAAATCCCACACCTGTCAGGCATCGTGGCCTGAGACCTCTGGCATGTTGCAGCAGATACTTGAAAGGGAAAAAAAATAATTGGTCATCTGTTGGTCCTTCCTTTCAGTATCAGTTGCCTGTGCTCTTCTCTCTTATTCTCCATTCCAAAAGCAGATGGCTTGTGTCTGTAAACCTGTCTTGCTCCCATGTTCTCTCGGAGCAGCAACTCACAGCCTCATCATGAATTCCTTCGGTTTTACTCTGGAAAAGTGCAGGAAATTATCCTTCAGCTGAACAGCTCTGTGCACCTTCGTGATGCCTGAGATGTGGCTCTCTGTTCCTGTCTGTGCAAAGAGGGCTGCCAACAGGCACTCAGCAGGCTTGCACACACAGCTGTTCATCTTCTTTCCTTGGGAGCTTATTTTCCTTAAAGTGCAGATCTAAGTGATCTGTCCCTGGGAGTCCAGGTGAGCAATGGGAGATCTGTCATTCCCTTGGCCACTGGTGCTGGATATGCACATGCCCTGGTGCTGCAAGCAAATCTGCAAACAGCAACTGCTCCCTTTCCTGCTTTTCTTCAGCATGACAGGAACAGATACTACAACTTGATATCTACTTTTGCAGTGTCAGCTCTGATGTCTGATATACAAGGGGGAAGGAGGAGTGACTGAAAACTTCTGACACAAAGCTGAGTCCCTGAGCTGTACATAGCTTGCACTAACTGGATGTCTCCTGCTGGAGAATGGTTTGTGGCCACTCTGGAAGGAGGTTAGATGCACAGATGAGATGGTACCTAATCTGGGGTGAAGCTAGATGTTTCAAAGGAAACCTGTTTAAGAAAAAAATATATTTGAACCAGTACAGCGAGTTCATCCTGCATCAGTGCTTTCTCATGTGGCTTTATCACTTCTGACTTGGTATAAGGAAGCCTAAAAGTGTATGGACTGGATTGTCAGACCACTGCCTCTATTTCCTGTGCCTAATCAAGAGCTGGCGGTGCCTCACAGGTGTCTGAAAAGTGTTTCTACATGGCAGGTGCTTTCAGGTGTTGAGCATCTTGCAATACTATTACAGAGCTAAATTGTAAAATAATGTGTGCTATTGTTTACATTCAGCAAAAACCAAATGCAGTGTAATGCAATTCCTTTCATCATTGTGGTGTGTTGTTTTGTTTTCAAATAAATCAGCTAATTCTACCACTCTGCCACTGACTCTGTAAATCATCTAAAGCAACTGTCCTGGCTTCTGCCTCTCTTGTGCCCAGGGTTCTGCAGTGACCCTGGTCCCTTGCTGGGATGCTCATGGATGCAGCTGCTTCCACTGATCATGCCTTTATTAACCTTAGAGGTAAAGACTCGGAGGATGCAGATTCCTATACATGATTTAAACTCATCTGCCCAGCACCCTGTTCATGAAGTTTGTATTTTATAAGCTCTGCCTCCCAAAACCCCACCTAGTAAATTCCCAGCAGCCTGTCCTTAAGCTGCCTTCTTTAATACAGAGGTATTAAACCCACAGGCTGGATTAAGGCGTCCAGGCAAGGTGAGTAGCTGGTGCAAGGCTGTGCAGCAGTTATTGCATAGAGAGCCCTGGAAGGTTTTGCATCCTCCCAAGAAGGAGCATTGCAAACAGATCCTGGACCAGGACAGGTGTACTGCCTTTCCACGGGACATTTAAGAAAGTCTTCAGGAGGTCTCTTGGTGTCTGTACCTCATGTCTGTGTCAGCTAAATTGCTAGAAACAATACCACAGCATACAGTTAATTATCTGGGGAGAGTCAACAGGGCTTCTGTAAAGGAAAGTCATGTTAACAAACCTCTTTGAGTTCCATGAAGGACTCAAAATGCACATTGGTAAGGGTGAACTGTTCTATATTGCCACTGGCTTCTACAGAGGCACGAGTGCTGTCATACAGTGCTCCCATGGGTGATTAAAGCTGAGAAGCAGAGGGGATGTTTCTCCAGGAAAGGAGGTCATTGGTGGCATGTGTCATTAGTCATGGGCTGGATAAGGTAATCTTTAAAAACTAAGGGGTTGTTTGATGACAGACAGTTATTTAGGATGCCAAAGGAGAAGGCAGACTGGGGAATTGCAAAAAGCTCTTATGAAACTGAAAATGGACAGAAGTCATTGCAGGTATGTACCAAAGGTTGCTGTGCTTCACCTTTCTAGTAACATGCTCTTACCTGGCCCCTGCCACTTGGGCACAAGAGCTTGGGGCTATGGATGACATTCCCACTCAAATATTTCCACATCTGGCAGCAGTAGAGCCAAAACATAAAATCATATATCGCGGATGGCTGGAAAGGAGTGAAATTTAGAACCACCTTCTGCCTCCCTAAAGGTACTGTGCACCCTCATCTTGAGGGCTTTGTGCTGTTCTGGTCCTTGCACTCCCAGGCAATTCTTAAGGGTTTGGAGAAGAGCAATGGCATCAAGGAGCGAGATGCTTCCCTGCTCATCCATGAGGAGCAGCTCAGGCAAGGAGAAGTGTGAGCCCTTGTTCTATGGCCACTGTGGTGTGTGTGGCACAGGGCGAGGTACTGCTCTTCACCCTGCTCTCACCAATCCAAAATGAGCTGTGAGGAGAGCCTCAAAGGCCTTTTTCTGAGTGGTGATGAGGTGCTGCATCAGCACCCAGTTAATCTTTGCAGACCTCCCTGTTAGAAAGGCCCTAGTAACTGCCCAGAAATGATAAGGCCCAAGCCCCATTTGGCCACCCACAAGCACATTCCAGGTCCCCAAAACCCTGCCCAAGCCCTACTTGTCCAGAGCAGGGGCAGCCAGAGGTTTTCACAGCTGTCCCAGCACACAAAGCTCCTGCCTGTTTTGGGAAAATTGGCTTTTCTTGCATCTCTGGCAGGAACAGGAGTATAAAAATAATCCACCTGTCCCTTTTTTCAGCTGGTATGGGGGGAAGCAGATGAAAAATAAGCGTAAGCCTTCATCTTCCAGGCTTGGGAAGGGGATAAAGATAGCCTCAAGACTATTTTTAAAGGTTTTTTTTTTTTTTTAAATGCCTTGTTTTCATTTGCTTTTCCAAAACCACTGCTATGCAATTTTGCCCATGAAAGATTTTTCTTTCAGAAGAGCTGCATTTCATAAAGCTGGAAGCCTGCCAAACATTTAGTGAAAATAATCAGTCCAGCCTTTGTTTTCATGAGTGATTAGGGGATCTGGGTGAATTTTACAGGATTTAAAATTTCTTGGAAAACTGGTGGCCTTAAGAACCCAAAGACTGAAAAATTAGTTTAGTTTCTGAAAAGGCAATTCAGGGCAAATGTTCATGTGTCTTGTAGCTGACACAGCCTGAGATGAGACTGAAGTCCCATGGACCTTCTTGCCTCCCCATGGGGCTGGAAGATGGGGCTGGCAAAGCCAGGCCTGATGAGGCTCCTGGTGCATGAAGGTGTACCTTGCTTTCTGATACCAAAAGCTGGGTTTACACTTGTCATCCTCTGAAGAGATTCACTCTGTGGCTAAATGGGGACACAGGAAAAGCAGGGTGACCTGTAAACCAGCCAGTGCTGTGTCCAGAGGTGCTCAGAGATGCCTCCTTCCCACATCTGGGCCCAGCTCCTGCCCAGGTAGCCTCCACCTGAGGATGGCCCATCAGTTGAGCAATATTGGCCCAGATGTTTCTGAAGCTGCAGTACAATTGTTTTCAGCAAAATTTCCTGGGGACAATCTGGTTCGGAAGAATGTTGTATGGGAGATGTGGGGCAGGGAAAAATATGCATTTGAACTGAGAAAGCAAATGTGTTAATTCAAAAGGAATTTTAAAAAAAAAGTGAGGTTATAAGGCTCTCATTAAAGCATCTTACAGAGAAAACCATGCCTCATTTCTTGGGTTAGGACTCAGCTGGCTCCTCTTCAGCCATGGGGAGAGTTGAGGAGATGGATCAGGGCAGGCTTCCCCTTGACACCTTCCCCCAGCAGCAGCTTGCTCTGGTACTGCTCCCCAGACCTTATCCTGCTCACAGTCCCAGAGCACTGCACTCCTCTCATGACACTCTTGGCTACTGAGCTCAGGCAGAGTGCAGGCAGGAGACTGTCCTGCTGGGCTCCCAAAAATTGGAGCACCCGGGCAGAGGAGACGTTACAACCTAGTTTGTTATCGGCTTGATGCTACCCTCAGTACTAATTACTTTACATGAAAGCATCTGTGGAAAGGAATAATAAATAAATAAAGTTGAGCCTGCTGGAGACAAGAGATGTTCAGCCATGATGCAAAGCACCGAAACAGAAAGCAGGATTGCTTTTCATCTGCAATTTGGAGCAGTTTTGCAAACCCATCTCCTGGCTGCAGCCAGGCACAAGGGGCATTAGTGGGAATTAGGACTGTTGCTGAGATATAGGCACAAGTGGCACCAGCCATACTGGCCATCACCACCACTGGCAGGAAAACATGGATGAGGCACACGCTGGTGCCTTGTCACTTCTCACAGCATCTTGTCAGAGAAGTGTTTGCCTTGGAGAGGAAGCACAAAGTAGGCTGGCTCAAAATGTGGCACCACAAACACCTCAAATCCAGCCCTCACTGACTGCGCCTCCATTTCCTTATCTGCTATGCAGGGATGAACAAGACAAACCTCTCTGTGGAGGACTCTGAAGATCTCCAGATAAAAGCACCAAATACATACAAGGATGATTAAAGACATCAGCACCCTTTGCTATGCACACAGTCTAAACACACTCAGGCCGTTCTGGGCTCTTTGAAAAACTGTTAGATGTTTTCCAGCTAAATATTTATTTTATCTGCCAGGACATCCCTGTGTCGGGAGATTAGCTCACTCCGTCAAAGGCATCTCAACAAAGAGTTATGGGCTTGGGCAGGACTTATGCATGGGCTGAACATGTGGGAAAAAATGCTGGAGCAGCCCAAGAGCCTGACCCTGCTCCCAGCAGAGCCAGGACACCAGTCAGAACATGCATTGGCAGTGTGATAGTGCAGTGGGCGTTCCCTGCTGGAAACTTTGACTCAAAACCCTTTAATAGCCGCACAAAGATGCAGTGTTTTCTCCCTTCTCTTTGGAAAGAAAGGGTCTTGAAG